CATGAGAAAAAATCTGTGGATGGGAAATTCCCAGTGATGTAACAAATAGAATGTTACGACTTAAATTGTGATGATAAAAAAATGAAAGTATTTTTAGTAGATTTTGGCAAATCATTTTATATGATAAGAAACTGGAAGGTCAAAACATAATATGAAAAGAGGGTGGTAACACATATTTTTCGTGAAAGTTCCGATTGGAGTCTTATCATCCACAGACTGTTTTTGCAATAAAAATTATCAAAAAGTCCAAAGTCGTGTCAAAAAATGTAATTTCCATTTTAGTCATATGAATTCCCCAGACGTGTTTCCTTATCAATTTTCGAAACTATTTTTGTCACCCCACCCTAATATGCGAATCGAAAAAGTGATAAGAAAAATTCATTTATTGCGTTTTATACTAGGTTTTATATTGACCACGAATGTGGCGTAATAGGTTAGTCTGAGCTTGCACTTCATGGGGACCATAAGTATTTTAAAGCTGGTGATTAAAAAAAGTACTTGTTCGGCTTACCAAACTGATTGAACAATCGCCTTCCCAATTGTATCTTAAAGCTCTAATCGAACGCGGGTACATTTTAAATATTCTGAATTCCAAATATTAATAATACATTGTCTCCGCGTTCGATTAGAGATTTTTAATGTACAATAATTACAACGATAAAAAAGATCAATTAGCAGCTGAAATTCAATTTCTCATCTATAGATCGCATTTTGGGCTGGTCAGTGAAAATTTATTCGCAGTATTTGCACGCGAGTCGTTTTCTAGTTTGACTGGATTGAACCAATTGCTTGAACAATTTGAAATTAAAAATTGTATTCATTTCACACAATTTGGCGTCAATTTCACAGAAAAACCATGTCCGTACAAACATTGTTTAAAAAACTAAAACGATTTGTGAATAATTTGTAAATGAAAAACAATGACATATCAAAAATAGCCAGAAGCCAATTAGTGCAAAATACAATAAAATAAACAATTGTAAATTGGCCAAACAATTGGCTCGATCCAGTCCAAATATTAAGCCCCTCGTGTGTAACAGCTGAGTATTAATGTGCCATAACTAATAGCGCATTAAACAGCACCCGGTATTACTTCATACATCATGATTTTCTGCTCTGAAAACTCCGAAAAATAATTCCGTCGAAAACCTAAAAAAGCTATAAATTAAAATTGTGAAAGAGATTTTTATTTTAAGCTATGAAAGAGACAAATTTAATTCGATCAATTTCAGTTATTACAAAAAATTTAGAAAAAAATGTTTTATTGATCAAAAAATGTAATTTTTAGTGCAAAAGTATTACAACTAATTTTCAATAAATGTAAAACTATTTTTCATATTTTTCCGTTAAATGTATACGTTTTTCATATAGTCGTCATATTTTTTTTAATTTTAATTGAATAATTTTTTTTTTTGCATTATATGGGAAATCACTTGAAAAATAATTGAATAAATGAAAAAATTAAATTTTTTTTTTAAATAATTTTCAAAAATTTTGAGAAAATAATTTAAATAATTCCATAGATTTCAATATTTTTTTTAAATTTTTTTTTTAAATAATTTTCAATTATTTTCAAGCGATATATCCCTTGCAATTTTTTTATATTCAGAAGTAAGTTTGAATTTTAACTTTTGAGTGTCATTCGTTATCAATAAATTCGTACAAAAAAAAATTTAAATCCCAATTCGTCATATCTAATTACTTATAACTCCAATCGTGTGTCTCGATTTCGTCGAAAAAATCTTTACTGTCATCAACTTCAGTGCCAAAAAAATTGTACTTGTTCAAAATAAGTCCATTACCTAGTACCACCATTGTTTCCCAATAAAAGGTTTTCAAATGTTCAATCGACGAAATACCATGATATTTAAGATGATCGAATAGATGTTCTGGATTGATTTTGATTTTACAGCAGCCACAAATCATGTGTATGCTTCCGTTGTCATAAATTTTCTCATATTTTGCTTTGATTGATTGATGTTTATGATCATGATGTTCATAAAATTTGTCTTTTGTCTCGAACACCTCGGTGCAATGTTTGCATTTGCGTTTTTTGTGCCCCTTAACATTAACCAGTTTCTTCAATATATCTTCGGACATCGCGATCGGATTGAAAATTTTCATTTCAAGCAACGTCTGGTGATTTTGTTCAATTGAATGATGAACAAGATCATTGGCAGCATCCGAACATAGACCGCAATTCGACCGATTCAATAGATTTCGAATGGAAAACACGCTCTTTGGATGTTGTTTGGCTTGATGGATTTTCAAACCTTCAAAAGTACTCACCTCATTGCAATAATTGCAGAGTACCAGTTGCGCAACCATGAAACGGAATGGTTTCACTGGCTTTGTTTGTTCATGAACTAATTTCCAGTGACTATAAACATCATTGACGTCGCCAAAAATTGCAACACTGCAACAGTGTTGACAGTAGTACACTAAATATTGGTCAAATCTCGACCATGGTTCATCTGAATTGTCCGTCAAGTAAATGCCCCTGAATCCAATAGACAATTCTTTGAATTGGTGCCGCTCGACGTGGTGATGGACAAAATTTTCTTTGATCTTGTACGTGTCGCCACACCAATTACACACGAAATGTTGCTGTAGTTTCATGTTCCATTCCATTGATTTGGACCATTTGGTGTCATTCACCTTTTTCACCAGTTTAATCAGCGTCAAATCAAAATTGATTGAGTTGTGGAGCTTCAAATAATGATTCGATGCAGTGGACTGATTGAAAAAACGTGCCGAACATAAATTACCTAGGGTGAATCAAAGAAAATAAATAATGAAAATTAATCAACAAGGAAAAATATTCGAGGGAATGGATAGCAATTCTTCAGTAAAGAAATAGTAAAAAATAAATTACACTCGAATAAAATGTTGATCTCGTCCAAATTTTCCGTCTGTTTAACACTTCGAATCTCACGGTGGTACAAACAATCGCTGGCACTGTGTTCCATGGAAAAATGTTCAATGACATCTGCGTCGCCGACAAATTGCATATTGCACACGCCACACTGGTACAAACAACTGTCATGAAGCTCCAAATGCCTAATGATGGCCAGGAAAAAACCTTGATCGTCCGTAGCATTTCGTATAATTTCTTCTTTGCAATGGGTACATACGTATTTTTTGTCACCCGGATGCTCTTTAAAAAAGTGATCTTTGAACTCGTTTTTATTGTAGCAAATCATAATGCAATCTTCAATGCCACAGTCATAACGACAAGCGGCTGGAACAAACTTATACTTTGACACGACCTGCACTGTAAGACGACACACATTTGGAATTAATGTGACTTTTTTCACATGGTCACTGGCCCCTTGCATCGATTTTGTGTGATCGTTTTTAATATGTTCGATGACCTCATTGTTGTTGACCTTTATGTAGTCACAAATGTTGCACATGAATGCTTGCAAATTTGCATCGGAAAATGTTTCTCGAATCACATGTCCCATACAATGTTCTGGCGAGTCTTTTGATGACAGCTCCGTATGGCAACCGCTGCAATAATACTCTTTTTCACCTGTATGCTTTAATAAATGAACTTTCCAAGCGTCAAGACTCTCTTCCATTGTTTGCTCGCAAAAGAAACAAAATGCACGGATTCGACCTGAGGATAGCAATGCGGTGTCCAATATCGATGGTAGGTGGCTTCTCAGGTTTTTGGCCATTTTCGACGAGAGATGTTTGACTTTGTTTTTTGTTATTTCGGACTTTTCCGAGGGGTATTGCCGTTTTGGACTGTTCTCGGTCGACGAGTCTTCAAAACTTGGTCGTTTTGGAGCCAAAGCAACGCGATTTTGTGCACGTAGAAGAAACTGATCAATATCCATATCGGAAATTGTGGTCAGTGGCGTTGGTTCATCGGTAAGGGTTGAGCTTACTTTAGTCAGGGCTGCCTTTTCATCGACTTCATCGTCTTTGTTCAATGGTTTGGAAGCCAAATCTGTTTCGTTAACGTTCCCGTTGCTTGTCAGTAGGCTTATTTGCTCTTCCTTTATGCTTGCCATACGTTTTGCACAAGCACCTCTGCAAAGGTTCTTCACACTGTAAAACATGCAAAATCAAACAAAATATACGTGATTTTATAAAATAACAACCAGACCTAAGCTTAGAGCTGTTATTGGCACCACGACGGTGCAGGCACTTTTTTTGTAAATTTCGCTCTTTCTTGAATTCAGGTGCAGAACTTAAGTAACCAATAATAGCTCTGCCTAAAGTGGAGCTAACTGCTGAGTAACAACTATAAATAACGGTAACTGATCCAGTGGCTTGCAATGATGCCTATTTCTAACCTGTGTTTACCTCACCAGACGGACTTATTATTGCCGTAAGTCAAAGCTAATGGAATATGGTGTCCATCACAGCCATGACTACCACCGAATCATGTCATGCTATTGATGATTGCTGTTGATCTGATGTTGATTCACTAGCAACCAGTATTGTACTACTCGAAATTAATGTGTTCAGTTCGGTCAAACTGCAGAATTGCAGATGATCAGCAATTATCAATAGCCGGATACTTAACACAGAGCAAGCTCCACACCAAATGTAAAAAAACAATGCAATCACTCACCGTTTACGGAACGATTCAAAAAACAGTCTCATTTCATCATCACTGGAGGCTGATCGGCTGATAGATGTGGCATAGCTGTTGACAATTTGCCGCAAATTATTTTCAATATTCAATCGATGGTCTTCATAAATGTTGTCCAACAGTTTTTCATTACTTTTGCTCATGGTGATGACTAGAATATAACAAGAGAATGAAATTACCCAACAGAACAATAGAAAAACAAGTGTGGAAATTAACAAAGTTTATCAGTAAATCACTAAAAGTTCCATTCTAAAAAAATCCGGTCGAGATTTTTTGGTAAGGTCCAGTATATGTATAGCAAGATAATTTTTCCATCCCGACAATTATTTTCAGTGGAAAATAATTGATTTTACCTATTTTATGGTTTCACTGATAATTTTTGATACGATACGGTTAGCTCAAACGTCACGGGCACTATGAATGTGAATGACACATATATGAGTGACAGTTGAATGAGATAATACAAACAAACCACCACTACTACAGCCAATTCTACTCTAATATTTCGGCGCAAATGTTTGTATTGGTGTGCATACTTCCCTATGTTTGATGGTCTACATTAGAAGATTGACTATAGTTCTGGAAAAATCGAAAATCTTCAATGCCTTGAGGAATATTACTTGACAAAATGTGTAGAACTAATTAATTTATTTCATTTTTTTTCAACAAATTGCTTTCTTTTGGACACAAATACATACAACTTTGTGCTGCCACATGAAAAAAGTAGCAAAGTAGAAGCAAATTTATCATCACTGCTTCCTGAATTGAAGAAAAGGTTCGGAAATGGTCCGGATAGTCAGAGGAAAAATACCTTAAATAGATCCATTGATAATGCTACCTTCTGTGTATGAGAACGACGCCACTTTTCAGCATTTTTCATACCAAAAATAAAATCCATATAAAATTCTTGAATCCTTCTCTGAATTTGGTGGACTCTTTGAGGTCCCAAAAAAATTGAAGCACCAAAAACATTGTATATAACAAATAGTATAATGACTCTAAAAATGTCAGAAAAATGGAAAAAAATCATGAATAATTTTGGCAGTGTGTCAATTCAGGCAAATTGCGTGCATTTAATGACCATTAAAGTACAAAAGCATTCTTTAAAAAAATGTTATTTGCTGTCAATATAAATGTGAAGTTGTTCTTCGGATAGCACCATTCGTCCCTGGCTACTTCGTCTTTTCTTCACGAACAATCCATCGTTGCACAGTTGGTATGAATGTAGTTTCCCTTTGCTTCGAGCTTTTTTCGCCAATTGTTGAATCGGGTAGAAAAATGGTGTCAAATGATTGCCAACACAGACCTTTGAATTCTTTCCACCGGGTGGTATATAAGTCAAGTCGCACGCCCATAGTTCTTGGTCGCTGGAAAGTCTGCGTACGCGGATTTTGTCATTGAGATTCTTGAATTTGACAATGATCGTATCGCTTTTGGTGTCACTTCGTGCAATGCTGGTAATGTTGGATGGATTCACATTTGCATTGATAACTTGACACAGCTTTAGGAATATATTAATTAAATTTTCCCCATCCGTCGGTGTAATGCCTTTGATCATCAAATCTTGCATGATTTCATTCTGCTTCTTCAATTCATCGGCATAGAAATCGGAACCTTTCGGTGATGATGGCAATTCTTTGAAAATGCTCGAGTCCAAATCAAATTTTTGGGGATCGTATGCCACGCCATCTGGTGGTGTAGTAAGCACAACAGATGATTCGGAAACTGGGATGGGACGACAAGATAAAAGTTTATAATTATTTTGTCATTTTTTATAAAGAGGGAATGAAACTCACCATCAGTACCAAAAAGGTCATGCAACTTTGAGGTGTTGCCGTCGTTTGGCTTGGGCTGTTTGCTCGGCGATTCTTCTTCTTTGGAAGTTGATTCCCGCTTAGCAACTCCACTACTTGCATGCAGCAAATTCTGATCCGGATTCGATGGGAGCGTGGATGATGCTTGCAGCTCGGTCAAAAACACCCTGTACGATTCAGCAATGCTAAACATTTCAATTGAAAAAAGTTGATTGAGTCAGAATGAAAAATTAGAGAGTAACCACAATGTCTGCCTACCACTTGTTGGTTAATCGCAATAATGCAGTTTCAAAGTTTTTGTCGAATTTTACGCCAATTCTCTTAAAATAGCGCAAGGAATTCAATGTCATATGATGTAATGATGACAGATATTCTTGGAATTCTTCGATGGTCCCCATGGCTGATCCAATGTTCATGATGCAATTTTAATCGATCGACTACGACACAAAAATTTGGATTTATTTTAAGAATTCCACTAGTGTCGTTCAACTCTATATTTAAATGAGATACTCGATTTTCTTTGAATAAATGGAATTATGTTGTCGAATAAAAACCGT